AATATAAGAAAAATGATGCGATTTTTCCGCATCCTATCTTTCTAAATTTAAACTAATTCAATTGTTTATTTAAGGGATTGTGAGTATGGAACGAACTATTCGATTGCGCAACGATCGTGCGGGCGCCGATTCTCGATTTATCAAGGATTCCGGCGAAGCGCCAAATAAATCGGTTCTCGACGCTGCAACCTTCGGGTACCGGGCCGATGAACGAGCCTACGTTTCGCGATGAAAGTTTCGTTTGATCCGTTGCGTAGATTTCGGCCGATGTTGCGAAGTCCTCTGAGAAAACAAAGTTCTTGCGCGAAACAAAGCGAACGATCGTGTAATCGATGACGAATCTGAAAATCGAGAGAGTCGGAATGGTCTAGTTTTCATTTTTGGTAATAGCACCATCGCGATCCTTGCTGGTAACACACTTCACACGAATTCTTCGTTGAAAACGGAAACCAAGGAGCAGGATAAACGCTCTTCCAGGAAATCGCTGGTAGAACAAAGTCATTAGCGTAGACAGACGGTAAACCGGAGAAAGCTGCTTATTCAATCTGTGTTCACGTGCGGAGACTTCTTCCATGTCGTAACGAGTGTTGAGCTTGTCGCGTTGAAAACCGCGACTCCGTGGATCAATGGGACATAGGGAAAGAATTCGTCGAGAAATTCATGCAGACTAGAATGTTGAGCACGTTCCATTCTATCGCCTTGGATATTTCAATTATCCTTTCCTATTCACGCTTGTATACGCTTTGTAAAGTGTCATAAATTCTAAGACACATCCTCGACGGTAATGCTTTTCGAAAGCCAACTATGCGTTCCGGTCTTGAAATAGAGTTTGAGAATGGTACTCGTGACTCAGTTCGTACACCTGCGTTTGTAGTGTCATAATATTTTCGTTTCAAACGGAACAAAGCATCGCAGACTATTAAAATCATCAAGTTCGTCTAGCCTTGCAAGAAGAACGACTCCTCTTCAACCTTTATCTATTGTTAAACGTATGATTCTCGGTGTACGATCGGTGTTGAACTTTCAACTTCAAACAGCTTTTGAATTGTAATGTTATTTAGAGTAATCAAGAACAGATGGTGTAAGACGAAACAAAGCGGCAGGACGTTCTCATATCGTGTCATTTTCGTGAACGTAATCGTGCTCCTTTTGTTCTTTCAAATTCAAGGCTACGTTTCAGAACCACGTTATTCTGACACACTGTTGCCCCTTAATTGTTTTCGCCACAGAAGGAATTCATTGTTCTCGCTGTATCTGTCCTCGGCACCGTGGTTTCCCGTGCTGATTGACGAATCAGATTAAGCCCGATTGTTAGCCGGGGCAATTGTGCAATCACTTTTCTTTTAATAATTTCCAAATTATTTCATATTGCACATAGAAACTCGAAGAAACTCAGCAACATTATACTGTCGGAATTTCTACCGTAAATTCACGATACCTGTACTCCAAAGTATCAACCGTTCACCATGTAAAGAGCCATCCAGTTTTTTAAACCGCCATTAAGCTGTTGACCGGTATCAAAAATTACGCAAACGTAGTACAATCTCTGTATTAAGCTGTCTGAACGTTCTCGGATCGTTGGATGATACAAGTTCAGAAAAACGCGAGGATCAAACGATTACGGTGGAGGAAGGGATAATGGGCACGAGGGAGCGTCGATTGAAAATTGCAGGATCCTCCGGTTGCAAATTGTCCACGGCTCACTACCATCGCTGCGGTACACGGTAAATTATACAGAATTGTTCAGAAAAGATGCACATTATGAAAACTAATGACATTAACAATCAACTCCCATGTAACAAAAACGAAATTCCATACTGCAAAACAATACAGTGTAGGCGTTTAGTGGAGGGGGAAAGAGGATTTCGTCTCCCCGGACGCCTTTAGTTCGGCCGGGGACCGCTAGGTGGCGGCGAGACGACAATGTTCTCGCTAGCGGTCGCCCGGCAATGCATTTCCAATATATACAGGGTGCTCCTCTCATTAGGGGACACACAAAGGAACTGGCGACAATGGACCCCTTGACCGCACCATAAAGAGGTCCGTATTGTCACGTGCCAGCGGGGACCTAGCCGGTCCTAGACGACTCTGTGTGTCTTCATGGTGCGGTCAAGGGATTCATTGTCGCCAGTTCCTTTGTGTCCTCTAACGAGAGGACCACCCTGTAGAAGTTGCGAATTGCGGTATCATAGGTGTCTGGGGCAGGGATCGTCGGCCTCACTTTTTCTCCCCTCTCCTACAACAGGCTTCTTTACATTTCTTTTTATGTGGATAATTCGCAATTTTCATGGTGTACATTAATTTTGAGACGTCCTGTATAATGACTGCAAACCGTGTGTGCACACGGATATATGCGTGCGCGCGATCTCAAAGCGGCCGCAGGTGGAAGTGTGGAAGAAACACGCGGATTTCGCAAGTCCTGGACGATCAATGGCTTCAATGCACTTAGAATCTCTTTCGAATCCTGCAACTCGCGGAAACATATTTTTTTGTTCTTTTTTGTTACGATGCTGCGTAAAATGATTGAGCAAAGAACAGGGATTGCCGACACGGTGTTATTTCGTTCGCTCGGTAATTGGAGTGGTTAATAGGTTTAAGAACGGTTTCGTGCATTTTTATTGAAATATGGAGGTTTTCTGAGTGATCGATAGAGGATAATGGTGTTTCGAAAGTATGCAACGGATACTTGCAGTTATTATCATTTTTAACCATTTACTTTGCTATTCATTTAACTAACGCATCCTTTCCAGTTTCTTTGAAACCGTGCAAGGTTATTTGCCTGGAAAATCTCTGTTCAATGGTCCTGGTTTTGACCATCGGTATGTATCCATAAGAAATTGATTGCCAGGATTTATTTCAATGAGTTGTTTCCTAATCCTCGCGTGCAAAGGCTTATAATGAAATCTAAAGGTCAGCAACAAATCTCCTGCGTGTCTTTTACGCGACTGCTTACAAATATTAAGAATAATCGATGGCGAATGGTCTTCAAAAGGGTAGCCAGGGTGTTCCATGGGATTATAAGGAATTCAAACGGCGATGTTAAGTAGCCGACGTGAATATTCTCACGTACACCCTTTGATCCTTGAAAGACGCTGGTCGGGTCGCCTTCGAGACGTGGTGCTTGAAAAGGATCGTAATGTCTGTTACTCAACTTTTCTCATACTTCATTATCTCTGTCACTTACGAGTCCATATCCGTCCCCGTAATTCACGTATCTTCGCTGAACGATGCGCTCGCAGTATGTAGAGTGACATCATAGAAAAACGGACCTCGGTGTTGAATCATTAAACGTTTTTCCTCCGCGTTTTTTTCTTTCACTGAATGGACAAGGTGCAGCTAGACCTAACAGTGATACATCGCTTCAAGCAATATTATTCACAGCGTTCTGTCTTTTGTTTTATTTTCATGGCAGCGAGCGTGTTTAAAGGGTTCATATCTAATCCGAGCTGGTGAGAGATAGTCTCATCCCGGGATCTAGCCTCCGAGTCGAAATTTTCAGACGTCACAGTCTGGTTAACGTCGCGCCACTCGAGAGATCGCGGATAATCTCTTTGTCGTTCTCGCGTAATGATATTCCACTTTGTTAACGACGGCCGCAAACTCGGTAGCCATGATCCGTTTCCACGCACCGGTGCGCTCGACTCGCGGCATCGCCGTCGTCACGCTGCTAAATCCAAGAAACACGTCCGACGCGAGGATGATGATCCCGCGACGCGCAATTCCTTCCATCGTCGTTCACCATCGTTCCGATGCGAATGATCATGGTTGCGACACCCCGCGACCCCGACACGCACGATGGATCATCTAGGATTTCGTCGATTTAATTGTTCCTAATGATGCTCCTCTAGGAAGGCGTCACGTACGATAATAGATTTATTATTATATCAATCCTTGTCTCATTAATCGAGTTAATGAAGCTAATTGAGCATTTGTTATATAAATTTGAATGCTGTCATCTTATAATTATTCATCAGATATCGCCTCTTGTGAGAATATATAATACTTTAGTTTTGTAAGAAATGATTATTGAATATTCTAGGTTAAAAAATCTGATCTTACAACCTGACACTGATGGTCGAGTTTATATTACCCTGCTATTGCATCAGTTATATTCAAATTTCTTTCGTAAGAAACACCAATGCATGATTAAATTGAAGTTAGGATTGACCAACTACTCGTTACAAATGGTACTCGACCCATTATCGATCATTATACAACCCTTGGAATCACGATCATCCACGACAAAGCAGCTTTTTCTCCATAATAAATGGAATTATAGAAATGAATCATTAAGCAAGACAACTCTTCTCAGGATTGATCTTGCAACGCTCATTGTCGATCCTCTCTAGAATCAGAAGTGTATCTCGTCCAGACATCACCGGTGCACTCTTGCCCTTGTTGAAGTCACTAATGACCCAGCTGGTCGAGATTTTATCTCACGATATCTTATAAATATTTGTGGAATATGAGACCATTTTACGACACGCTCTAGAGATTGTTCTTCCTTTCTTCCCATCACGAAAAGTCCTCGAAAATCGCGATCGTCGGTTCTAAGTTGTCCAAGGTCCAGCTTCAAGGTTGCACAGCTAGGTTCCCAAAAACCGAGGTCGCGAGGAACCGATGATCTGCAACGAGATCGAGATCCAGAGGGTAGTCGTGCGGAACGACGATCGATTCTTCGATCGATCGATCAATCGCGCTATTGTTGCAATTGAACGTTGTTCCTTGCTGTCGAAGACTTTGACGAAACTCGGTACGAGCTGTACCTGGTTATTTATTGGATCTATTGATCGAAAGAGAAAGCAGGGGGTCTTTGTATAGTCTGCTGCAAACTGGATGTATTATTTGATCTTTAGAAAAATTGTTTATCCGATGGGATGAGCAGAAGATAATTTTAAATGTTACATCGAAGGTTTTCATTGATTTTTAAATTATCATAGAAAGTTGTGTACTTTCTTCAAGAAAATCCTGAAATGATCATGATCATTGTTTGATTTCAGATCAAAGTCCCGTTGAAAGTAAATTTCTCGGTCAGGCCTAAGGACGTTTCGGTGACGATCACGAAGAAGCACTTGACCTGCGCTATAAAGGGTCAACCACCCATCATCGACGGTGATTTCCCACACGAAGTCAAGGTCGAGGAGTCCACCTGGGTGATCGAGGATGGAAAAATGTTGCTTATCAATTTGGAGAAGGTGAGTGACGGAAAGAAAAATCATTTAACGTCAATGGTTTGTCCCTCCGTTGTCGACCTTGACGAAACAAGGATTTCGACGATGACTATCATCGAGTTAGCATAAATTCTGATCAAAGGTATCAAATACGCGAAGAATTTGCTTGTCTGACGTGGCCCTGAACAATCTTAAAATAAGAAAGTTTATCGAAGGTTGAATCGTGACCGCTTAACGAGCAACTGTTTACCTGAAATTCAAACGACACGTCTCGTTCTTCGGTGTTGTTGTTGACATTCTCTTAATTATATCATCTATTTTATTGAGGAACATAAATACATATTTCACTGTCAATCGAACTTGTTTCGCGTCTATGTAGCTACTATGTTTCATGGTTACTCATAGATTTGTCTATTTTTCATTTTAGAAAGTTCTTGTCCTTTCACTGCTTTTATAGTGGTATTATATAAAATAGTAATTAAGTATTCCGGATATTTTGTAAGTTTCGGCGTGTTGTGGTCACAATTAGGAAAATTATTCCTGTTTGCGCGGAAGCCAGGAAGTTGAAACGTTCGTTCCTGGAGTAGAATTTAAAAGAATGACGAATGATATAGGAAATGAAAATAAATTTAAATTGTTATCATCGCAGCGATTCGCCATTCGAAGATTACGTTTCTGATTCTATCGCAAAATATCTAAAACATTCTCAGGATGAAAACTGACGATTTTCTTCTCAGGTGAACAAAATGCAATGGTGGGCACACGTGGTGACAACCGATCCTGAGATCAGCACGAAGAAAGTGAATCCTGAACCCAGCAAACTGTCCGATCTCGACGGTGAGACCAGAGGTTTGGTAGAGAAGATGATGTACGATCAAAGACAAAAGGAATTAGGCTTGCCTACTTCCGATGAGCAGAAGAAACAAGACGTGATCAAAAAGTACGACTCTCGTGAAAATGGAATGAATCGCTCGACAGATAGACATCTAAATGCAACTCGTTTGTTTTTTTCAGGTTCATGGAGCAGCATCCTGAGATGGACTTCTCTAAATGCAAATTTAATTGAACTGGTTCAATTTAATGATATGGAGATGATTGATCGTTGGTCAGGCTATTGTTAGATCAAATGGAAAAAGAAATTATATTATCAGCCACGTCGATGAAATCCCAACGAAGCTCTTCTGATATCATCTCGTTAATTATCTCGACGTTATTTGCACCTATCTCTGATACTCGTTTGCTACCAGGTTCTAAGAAATCGCTGTTCGACGAAAGATGGCACCACAGTCCTCACGAAAAGGCCTCTTTCTCGTTCACTTCTTTATCTTCTGTTCTCGCTCTTCCTTTCGTCTCTCGTGAATTCAAATGGAAAAGCAGGAGCAGACTCGAGTTGCACAAAAGTGTATCATGATTTTTTCACCTTACGTTTCATATTATTGAATAATAAAAAGTTTAGAGAAAAAGGAAAACTTGATCGTCGATTGTTTCCCACGACCGAGTTAGTTAGTTCCCTTCCTGTTTAGGATAAAATTGTATTACTTTTTGTTCCTTCTGTTGCTTTTGTTATCGAATTTTATAAAATACGATGATTTTTCATTGTACAACGTGATGTATCTAAAGTAGAGACTGATAAATGACATTAATCTTAAAAGAAAATGATTGTTCGATCACTTGCAGTCTTTAGGTTCAACTTTCATACTTTTAATTATCTCTTAAAATTAATTAGAGTCTTTCAATGTCTAGTACCACAGACCACAATTTATCTGAATCGATGCACAGATGTGTCCTTAGTTTGTTAATTAAAATCGTCAGTTTCTTTCATCACTCTGCTGATCCAACGAACGTAGTTCGACATTCTCGCGTATATTCCGAATTTTCCTCGTTTCCCACAACCCTCTCCGAAACTGGTGATCCCGAAAATGGTCCAAGGATGGTCGGGTCTCCTGGGATCGCGACAGAGAAGGGGACCACCGCTGTCTCCTGCACAAGAGTCCATTCTTCCCCGACGATATCCTGCACAGAACATGTTGTCGGTGATCCTGTAGTCTACGTAGACGTCGCGACATGCCTCTGTAGACACGATGGGTATCTGAAAAATGACAAAATTGACAGACAATGTTCTTCAGGGTGCATTCATGGCTATTACACCAGCAGAAAGTATGCCTGCGACGTACTCGGGCCTCGTGGAGAACATCGGTACCAAAGTCATCGGTGACTCGCGATTTTCCCCAGCCAATGATCGTACACAGTTGATTGGCGGGTAGAGGCTGGTTAGGCGCCGGAAGACAAGCGATCCCTCTCGATGGCGAGGCGGTCAGTGTGACTGGAAGACGTAACATTGCCACGTCATTGTCCACTGTGTCCACGTCGTATTCGGGATGTACCGTTACTGAATCGACCTGGAGAAAAATTAATACTTAATTAACATTTTGAATCGGGGACCATCAGTGAACATATCCGGATATAACGTACCCTTAGTTCTAACTCGGTGCCCTCTTTCACCGTCAAATCGTGTTCTCCGATTCGAACATAGAGACGCTTTCTAATACAATGCGCAGCAGTCAGCACCCATCTTGGAGAGACCAGGGTGCCTCCACAAAAGGCCTCCTATAAAAACACAATTTCCTTTTAATAACAAAGTAAATAATTATGATTTAATAAATATTTTTGAACATCTAATTACTTACTCTGAATCTGTTCAAGACTGCCACTTGCCAGGGCCAGCTGCCAGGTATCGATGGACGTCCACCGATAATTCTTGTGAAATAAGACAACCTGGAAGTCCTTTGTGTGCTTGGTACCCCACACTTCCAGGTGTGAGGGTGCTTTTCGGGAATGGAACTACTCACGTCGTTGGAACTGCTCAATTCTAATACGATGTCTAGAAATAATGCGAATAAATATGCTAGGAGATTAAGTAAAATTTTTGATGTGCGATTCGAGCTACAATTTACCGTCGTTATCTACTTCTTGACTTCTACGGATTTCTTGGTCAATCCATCTTTGGCAGTAGCTACCTTCGACGTAGCAGTAGGCACTCTCCCTTATCACATCGCGAACGCAAATTCCAGGCTTCTTACACCACCTTCAGTTAATTAATTGAGATTAATGAGAACTGATTTCAGAGCTGATAAATGAATTGAGAGATCGTTAACGCAGTGCTACCTGTGACGTTGAGTGGTACACAGTCTTGTACAGGGTGACCACTTGCTCCACTTTCCATAATATCCTATGGACTGGTCCTTGATGTCCTTGCCCCTTCGTCTCCCTTGTCTGGGCTCGGCTTCCTTTTTAGGTAACTAGTAACGCATTCGTAATTAAATAACAATAAATTTTATCACGTACTTGCATGCATTAAGAACATTTTCATTTTTTCGAATTACAGATAAAGTTTAATTAAAACACTTGTTCACCTGTACTACATGAAATTTATCCTTTCGTCGATGTCCTCGTCGCTGTCGTTGCTTGCATCTCCTCCACCTTCCTTTTCTGTTGTGCTGACAGGTACGTTCTTCCTATAAAATATTCCATCAAATCGTAAATTACCACGTAGACTCGGAGGCTATAACGTTAAAGAACGGTGATATTTTTTTAACTCACTCTTAGTATAGTGCTTCCACATTTTTTCTTTAGTCGACACCTTCGAACGCGATTTTGCGTACAGTGTCGATCGCAAACTGACCATTCGCTCCAATTTGTATAGTACGATAGTTTTGTGGATTCTGGAGTAATTAACAAATATAATTTTAATTTTATAATGGAATACAATAGTGCATTATATTATATGAAACTCACTGTTCTTTGGCGATTGTCCCGCAAAAGAATCTTGATTGCTCGCGTGCAGCCGGCTCGAATTATTGCCCCCATGGAAAACGAGCGTCCTATTTCCACTCTGAAATTAGCCCAAAGCAAAGAGTAATTAATCATCGGCAGCTAACGACGAAACGACCGGAATGACTCGGTATAAACTACTTTTTTCACTGAGAAATTGTTATGTCAACGTAAAAGCAAACGGGTACACGCGTGTTTGCATTGCAAAATGCTTCTTTCTATTTCGACCAAGTCATGGACAACGGTCGCGGATCACTGATGAAACGTAAAAATGATACGCACGAGGAAAAGCAATTTTATTGTGTTACATGCATGCGATACGTGGGCAGAGCGTCGTAAAAACGAACAGAGATTAATAGCAGCAAACTGAACTAATGAACGCACTGTTTCGTTACGTGAATTCCAATTGAAGCATTAATTCTTCAAACGATTTTCATCATTTACGCTGACAGTATTGAAGTCTTAATGCTACGTTTGATGATGATATTCGAATGCAGGGTCATACGTTTCCCAAGTTTTCTATTTTATCTCGGTACTCAAAGATGGTAATCGACCTCTCCCAATCCTGGGTGCGCCAGAAATCGATCTAGCCTTAAAATAATCGAACAATGCAAACCTTTCCTTCTCTCATAACTCGTCGTACATCGATGAGGAACGGAAAGTTTCGCGAGGCGTACAGACAAGAAAGCTGGTAAAACCGTAATCGGGTCTCCGTATGTGAGGATCGTTCGACTCGAAGGCAGAAACGATCGCAAAAACGATCGAACAATTACTCGTTCTCAAGCAGAGAGTTAATAGACCAGTCCTTGCTGACGTTACTAGCAACCGGCTCGAATATCGTCCAGCATTCCCAAGGCTGTAACTAACTTTAAACTCAATTTGTCTGCTCGTAAACGTAACCACCGGCGTCGTTGCACAATGTCACCGTGTCCAGACGCGTAGGCATCGCGTAATCATGATTCTTCCTCCCTTTAAGCTTCGTCCAAGAATCATTGATCGATGAACGACCGGGCGGATTGATAAAGATGCAACTGGCACACGTGGATCACACCCTCTTTCGATGCACAACCCACGTGGCTCATTATCCTGAACAATAGAGCAGTGAAATTGGAAAGAACGTTACCTCATCCAGGTCGATCGTCTTAGGAGATCGAAGGGTCGATTGTGTGACGTAAGGGGTGGCTGCGAAATGTATAATTATCTTTCTTCAGATTGACGGTAGAGACAGTGCCAATTACTGAATAGTTACAGGCCAATGAAACGCAAGAATGCGATCCTTTTGTCGAGCTGTTCTTACGAAACTTTAATGTGCTGTACGATTTTTGTTTGTACGCAGCCAATTACTTGTATCACATCTTTTTGCAATTGAACATTTTTAGAATTTATATTTGCAATTAGGTAATTTAAGTTCTGCTATAATTGAGGAAACAAGGAATGTAACGTTAAAGTAATGATTTAAGAAAATATAGGTGCACTCTGTTTTTACTATCATTGAGAAATGTACCATTTTGATAGCATTCTGTTATAGGCGAACTAGAAATTAATTAAGAATAAGTGAAAATAAAAATGATCGAACATGCAAATGAGATACAAATTCATTTTCGTAATGTAGCTGTGTAAAATTTCAAACAAGTCTTGGCATTCTATCGTATAAATGGAACAAGTTTGTAATGTCGTACGTTTAATATCGTAGAAATATTCTTAAAACAGCGTGGATTGAAACACATAACGATTACCTCGAAAGGTAATCGCGTTTTACCTGTACTAAAAGGCAACAATCATGAACATCTGACCTCGAGTTAAATGAAATCAAACGGCTGGTACGATTTCAAGAGAATGCTGATTGGATTCTTGCGTTTCTATAAAAGAGTATCGCGATGCCGCGAACACGATACGAAACGATATGAAATCTCAGAATGCTTAAACGAGTTACAATAATTTCGTTGTTGCCTTTCAAGTTTATGATCCGGTTAAGCGAAAAGAATACGCACCTTTTGAATGTACACAGGAGCACAGAGTTCAGGGTTAACGATATTCCCGTATTATACAATTAATTTCATCGTGCTCCGTGTAAAATGAAACAGGTTCTCTTTCATTTCCTTCTCTTGTATAAGCAACTCATGCTTCGAATTCTTGACCGTATTTAATACGTACGGTGTGCTCTGTATAACGCAATATCCTGGAATACGAAAAACGAATTGAAGTGCCGTGCGTCGCCGACTCTCCGGAAAGCATAGCTCGAGGAGCAAGTTGACGAAGGGAAAAATTTCCAAGTCCCTATTTCGCCTGTTTCGTCATAACCACTTGGAAGTCTGCTACGTCGCTTGCTTTAGCACACAGAGAAGTTGAAGAGGAGAAAAACGGAGAGGCTTCTCTGAGCAGAGCAAGTAAAGGGCAAGAAGAATTTGTATGCGTGGCTGAGGACATGGCCAAACTAGGCTGAAGTCCGCGGTGCCTTGCATCTCCCCTGATGGAATCGCAAAAACCGCGTGCCGAGTAAAAGAGAAGCAATTTCAAGGGATGGACACGGAGGGAAGCTGTCGCCTCGTCGTCGAGCATCTCCAACAAGAAGAAGTTTAATTTGAGAAAATGTCGCTAAAGATCGTGCAAGGGTACCGTGACAAAGAGAAAT